TCTGCTTCCTGCTTCCTTTTCCTTTCTCTTCATAATTCGAGTTCACATTGAGCCTCATAGAGTGTGCAGTAAGATTTGTTTATTGTCAAGCTAAATCAAGTGTTAATGGACAGGGACTTTTTAGAGGAGATGACTGTGAGGGTTTTCACTCAGGATTTTCCCCAAACAATGCCCATGGCTCAATCAACATCTGCCAGTATAAATTTAATCAAACTTGCCATTGAGTTCTGGGTAAACCAGTCAGGATCTGAAGTAATTTAAAATAATGGTTGTACAAAACTGTGCCCAAACATCAGATCTAAGCACAAAATATACACACAGAGCTCTTAAAATAATGCTTCTTAATAGCATAAAGAATTAACATAAGAATAAGATTAATCGTTCTGAAAGTAAATGTTACATGATTAAAAATATGTTTAATAAAGATGTTACAAATGTTACAAACATGTTCAATAAATAGTTTTTTAAATATCCTGAAGAAAATGTGAGTAATAGTTTTGCCTGTGCAAAACCTGGTGTTAAGGTGTTGTGGGTGGTTGCCAGGTGAACAGCACATTCCAAACCCTTCTCTGACTGCAGCAGTGGAGAAAGGTTTGCTACATTTTGATTGGATTGTGGTGGACTAACACAAACAAATGTCCAAAATGCCATCAAATAAGGATGCTAGGACAATGGCCAGACACCTTTTAGAGGGCAAGAAGACCTCTGTTATCACGCAGGACAGGATTTCTCATTGGTTCACATGCCATTTCTGCCTTTCACCCATCAAGAGAATAATTCCTTAGGTTTTGGCCTGTGACCGCCATAAAAATTTCTTAGGACCTCAGGATGCAGCAGCAGTGGATGAAACAAAGCGAGGCCACAGTGATCCATTCAAATCCATACTAACTATGCTTTGAATCTGATGCAAACTACAACACATTTCATACTTATTCAGAGAAATAGGCATTCTCGGTGGCAGCTATGTGTAGTGTAAAATCTTACACAAAATGGCTGTTATTGGACAAATAAATGCATTCATACCAGTTTGATCTTTTTACATCATGTTCGGACTTTATGCATTCAGAACATCACCAAAGGTATTCTGGTAGTGGTTTAGTAAGTGAGTAATGCCAAACTTTCAGGACACTTTTCTAACTGTGTGTTTTGGACTATGCAAATGAGTTCCACACTCTGATGCCAGCAGTCAACCACAGAACTGAAATGGAAAAGCGCCAAAATGTAATCTCCTTCTCATCAGAAAGGGATACATATACCATTTCAACAGACACACCTTGTTCTGAGTCTCCAGCCTGTGTGGTGAGAGACAGTAACAGAGACAAGAGGTCTTCACAGGTCCAGACTGAACACGAGGAACCGGGAAGCTGAGGGTATGGGTTTGGGTCCATATTTTAAAAAGTCACCCATGTCAAGGTCAGGTCCCAATCTATTACTTTGGGTCCCAGCCAGGTATTTTTAACATAGTGCATGATACCCAAGTCGGTCTGAGAAAACCCGGCCGTGATCAGAGTCAATCATCTGCATGTTCCCGATTTTAGGACTCTTTGGTGCTCCAGGAGATCAGCATCCCACAGCGCTTTAAATTCAAGACTGTTGAAAAGGATTTCTGCTCCTTTCCTCACTGCATTGTTACCCATACACAATTAGTGGAAGAAGTCACCGCCATTGGACTGCTCACTCGATCATGGGGGACATAAATATCACTTTGACATTGTTGTATATTATCAGTATATGATTTTTGAATTTACATTAGATGTTTTATAGCTGATGTCAGGTAAAAAATAAAATGTATTTCTTTGTTTGATGCATAATAAGGTTATTCAGCTTATTAATTTCAGAGAAGCAACAATTTATCTTTCCATATGATAACATAATTCTGCCATAGCAACACCCAACTTAATCTCTTAATCACTATCAAACAGCTCCGGTTGGGAGTGTTCTCATTTTGCCAAGCAAAAAACTGGTGCTGTGAAAATGGTCATCTGATATATAACCACATATTAAGTGATGTGTGATCCAAAAATCACAATGCCATCGGGGACGTGAGTACCAATCACTACACAGGGTACAGCAATGTGGTTGCTTGGGTTTGGATTGGTTTCTATGGTCTTACTACGGCTTGATTGAAAATGGTGCACAACAAAATATTTTGATCATAAGTGGTAACTAGTCAATGGCTAACCTCAATTGTTTGGTTACCAATATTCTTCAAAATATCGTCTTTTTTGTTCAACAGAAGAAATGTTGAAATAAACTCACACAGGTTTGGAACAGGTGTTGGAGCCAATCGGAATCCATTTAAAGAGCACAAGATTTTAAAGCACAGATGATATAAACTGCAGCACTTGCTTAAAACAAATAGATTGTTATTGTGTTGGTGTGGATGTGAATATAGACATCATTATAGTTTTCATTATTATTATCGTTCTGGGTGTAAATGACCCTTAAAGTATCATGCACATACAGTATAGCAAAAAGAGTAGAGTCCCAAATGACACATTATATACCATGCAATTAAACTATGCATTATAGTACGTAACATAGTACCAAAGTGTCTGAGAGCACCTCTCCTTCCGCAATTAAAGCTACACAAAGTGTTCAGTATTCCATGTTTATTTAACCTTTTTTTTCAGTTAAATAAGTGCATCATCCAGGTGTTTAAAGTTAACCTTTTCTTGTTGTATACTACAATTTATACTACAAAATTGCATATAATAGTCCACGAGTAAGTGTCTTTTTACTAGTTTTTTTCAAGAGAATAATGTTTCCTGCATCTTGAACAACCAGTAAGTAATATATCCTCACAGTACATCTGTACAATCAATCAACTCTACTGTGATTTTTTCTCTATTTATTTTGAGTGAGAAAGTCCATTTCGTCATATTGCCATGTACAGAAACACCCTGTGGGAGAGGAAATGTGGTGGCAAGGAGTCCAGCCTTGTTCAAAATCCCCCAAAACAAGAGGAAAGGACATTTAGAGCCCACAGACCATCTAGTAGTAAAATCCACCCACCTTGTTCCTAATGCGCACCAGATGAGCTTGTTTGCATATTACTAAAACAGTTTAGAATGCTTTCCCATTTTAGGTCTTTTGTTTGAAACCAGCCTTTCTTATCCCAGCTGTGATTACACTATTCCCATGGTTCCAAGCCTCATTATTGTTTCACAGTTGCTCTCTTTGCTCACCTCAGTGGAAATGATTGTTTGGTAGATAATCAAACGATACACTGTGGACACACTACAGAGGAGGGAAATTATGCAGGAACTATACAGTGGTTCACTTTAAATTGACCTTTATGAGTAAGTGTCACTCAAAACAGCAAGTAAATTGTTTTATTTGCCTTGAAAGTAGCTGTAACTTAATAAAACCTAGTAAGTATAACAACTAAGTAAAGATAACTAACTAAATCTAAGTAAGGTAAACTATTGGATTTTACAGTGTAGATGTGAATCATCATATATTTCGTACATTTTATTATTGGGGAGGGCGATGTATATTGGGAAGATATAAATCATCATATATACATTTAATTACTGGGGTGGGCAATGGAAGAATAATTAATTGGGCACTAAATGATAAATTTAGATGTTCTCTGGTGTTGTAGGATGTTCTGTAATATCACTTGTTTGTTTCTGTAGTCCTTGATATGAAAGATTTGCCTTAAAAATGTATATCTATTATTTTGTAGTCTTTCATCTTCTCAATGAGACGAGCCCAAGACTTTACACAGTTGAATAATCTCTTACTTTAGATTCTCTTGTTCTGTTAGATGTCCTATTAGAGGCCTTGCTTCCAATTATTTTTGACATTTCTGCTTTCACAGTACAATGTGACATGGCCTTTGATTATAGAAAATGACTAAGCCAGTCAAAGGGCCAGAAGAAGGTCTTCTGTCTTAAAAACCAAAGTTGAATTCAACTGACAAAAAAAGCGATTATCCTATTGAGAACAATTCTGAGACTACTGTGTGTTTTAAATGAGGGGTTTAAATATAGAAGTCTTAAAAATCCTTTGGGTTTTTTGGAGGTAGACCAAAAATCAGAAGATAGAAGAAGGAAAAACTGGGTACATTAGACATGGAAGATTAAATTCTGACAAATTACGAAAGAGTGGATATTGGATATTGGTTTTGATTTTGGAATTTAATGTAATTTATTTTATTAAGTATTTTTTAGGGTGTGATGTAAATGTTAGTTAAACATTAATCTTACTCCCAAGAATGAAAATGTTTAAAAGAAAAATATTTCCACCCCACGGTCATGTTGTTTATAGGTGGTAAAAGCTTTAGTTATTGTATGTACTGGAATACTAGAATACAACAACCAAAGTATTACAAATCACCTGCTTTGCCATGATAAATGTTTTCAATGAATAGCCAGTGTGGTTCATTCAGTGAGTTTATTCAGAGTACAATGAATGTATAGATGTTCTCTGTATCATGCAGCATTTACCAGCAGGAGCCCCATTCAGGCTGCACTGACATGATGCTTGATACAAATTGAAACACCTGCAACATTGTCATGAATCAGCAGCACTTTTCCAAATTAAATAATACAACCTCCTGCTGGGCGTTGATCTTTATTTTGATCTACTCGGGCTGGAGCCTCTTTTGATGACTTTGTCATGTGATTCTAATGAGAAAACAGTTATTATTAACTTGGACTCTTCAACAGGTCTGTAATCCTCTCATATTGTTTCAAAGTGTGAGGATTCTGGAATTACATCCCCTCTTACGATGCCCACTCAGTGGAACCCTGCCGTCTGCGTGCTGAACACAAGCCACGTTGCAGGAAATCTTAATCAACTTTCCACCAAACAAAACACTTGAGCTCTGTCAGTGGTCTCAACAGGTTCTCGATGAGATTTTGTGTTTTTGTTAATAGCCACATACTCATGAGAAACCAAGACAATGGTGAATCTAAGGATAACGTGGCACATTTGCAGACAATGGCTGGTAGGCCTATAAAAATGGACCAAGTTGCCACCATTATCAGACCAGCTTGCAAGACATCACAGGAGACAGCAGCTGAACCACTGAAGAAACACTCGGGATCAAGAATGAAGCTTTACGTTGGTACCGTCCTCATCACTGTTGCACTTTTGTCCGAGTGCTACTTCAGAACTGCTGCCATCCCCATGACCAAAGCTGAAGACACAGAGCCAGATCTGCAAGGCTTGAGCGAGAGCTTGGAGGAGAACTCTCTGAGATCCGCACCAGGCAACTCCAAAATCATCGTGGTGGCCGACTCCAATCTGCTGAGGACCCTAACATCTCTGAACAGAGGACTCCCTCATCTCAGTCTCCCCGAGAGCCTTCTCAGCACAGAGCGCAGAGATGTCGGAACAGACCTGAGCCCGAGCATCGCCATCATCAAAAGGGACACCATGAGGTGCATGGTGGGAAGAGTGTATCGGCCATGCTGGGAGGTGTAGGTCTTCTGGGACGACGGAAAGAATGCAATCAGATTCGCCTTCTCTAATCTAGTGTTGCTTGTAGAGAGGATGTAAAACTTGATGCTATTTAATGACGCTGATGCTATTAAATGATGAAAAGATTATTCTACCAAGGTCTTATCTGTTCTCGTCTGTTCTAATTTAACATTTTCCTTTTTCATACTTCTCTTTTATTTGTGTTCCAGTTGAATATGGGATCTGAGGGTGTCATGATCAATGCTCATACCATACATTTTTGACTAGGTAAAAGTGATTGTTTTTAGCATTAAGTATTTTTTTTTCCAAATTAAAATATTTTCTACAATGTTAGCTTATAATTATAGAGGTTTAAAATTTAATTCTTCTCTGTCCATGTCTGGTGATCCTTTTATTTACGTTTTTTATTTATTATTGTCCAAAATCAAAACTCAGTCCAACCATGCTAGTTGGATATTTACATGTGACCATATAAAGCACATTTCTGTCAAAACATTTTCACATTGTATTTTTTAAAATAATGTTACTTGTGGTTGCATTGAAACAAATACAGCAGACAGAACATTTTAATTGCGCATGACCTTCAATCTGAGGGGGTGTACTGAGAGGGGAATTAACCTTCTGCATCTTTCTAATTAAAATGTCTGCCATGATCAGACGAGAGTGACCATTATCTGCATGTTGTGCTAAAATGCTAATCCTGTCAAATGCAGACGGTAAAAGAGACGACAGGCAACTTTAAATGGAAGTTCAGTATGCTGACTGAGAAAGAGAAAACACAACATTTTTATCATACATATTTTGTGCAATAAAAATAGATCCAAAATAATGAGTGGAGGATGATAATGGAAATTCTTACACTCAGTATGCTAATGAACAGTTGTTTATACAGCATTGTTCATTGAAGATAAAGAGGCATTTTTCATAATAATTTCAAGTGCAGTCAGATGCAAATAAAATCTCTCTGATGTTTCCTCTTTTCCTCCCTTTTTCTTGTGTCAGCAGTAGCCAACTACAGCCTAGAGACTCTTTTAAGGGTCACCTATAATCACGGCACCTTTGGCTTTGTACGTTTTTTTTAATTTTTTATATGGTCACTCATATGTTGGGCTGGGGATTGATAGAGATTTCATAATTCCATTTGATTCACAAGCTCTTAATTCATTTCTGATCTTGATTCAATTCAGTTTGATTCACAATTATTCTTATTCTCTTAT